GAGACACAAATAGCACGGTTACGCGCCCTTCTCACACCATCTACAGCACCAAAACGCGAATCGACATCAATTAATAACGATCAGGAAGGACAAGCAGCACCCTTCGCCTTCTTAACGCACGCGCCTGCTGCGAAGGAAATAGGTATACAATCCCTACCTCACACAAACGCAAACGGAGAGAAGAATTCCGAGAAGAACAGCAACGGGGAAACAAAACCCACACACACGCCCCTGACAACACATACCTCCTTCACAACAACCCAACTCCCCTACCTCCGCCAACTCCTCGCAAGCCTAAAACCGCATTTAGCAAACACTGCTTTACCCAGCAACACCTCCTCACCACATACCCACGTCCAGCCTAAGGATAAGGAGGAATTAACCCGCGAACGCAAGATTTACGTTGAAAGTCAGAGTAAACGGGTGTTGGAGAGGAGGGGTGTGGATACAAAGGATGGGGTTGAGGGGGTTTGGGAGGGGGGGAGTAGGGTGGGGAGTGAGGAGGTTAGGGGGTTGGAGGGGTTGGTTGAGGCGATGGATAGGGGAGGGCGTGATAACAGGAGAGGGCAGAGGGAAGAGCAGCAGGAGGAGGAGGGTCTTGAAGGGATACAAGAAGGGGATGAGGATGAGGATGCTATGGACACGAGCTGAGTTGGTACGGGTTGGAATGGGCGTTTTGGCGTTTGGGGCATATACCAGTGTGAGCAACTGTGTTGGAAATATCGAAATCACGTCTCATGACTACCTCACATCCCTCTCGAGGATTCTTCAGCCAGGTTCTTTTTTTTTTGTCGTTTCCATTTGCCATCATACATGAGCATTCGTGTCATAGAAGACGTTAGACTTGCAAGTCAAAAGCTACCCTCCGCCCCATACGTCTCCGTTACATGTGTGTGGCCTTGAAATCAGTCGCGAGTGCGCTCTCTCGAACAGACTGAACCCGTGCTCCACCACAAGGCTAACACCCACACACCCACACAGCCGCTCTCAAAGCACCAAGCCCTCAGCGGGTCATAATGCCCAGCTCACCCCTAGTACTCCACAACCTTAGCCCTACTCCTCAGCTCCTCAGGCACCTCCTCCGGGCTCACAATACCCATGCGCATCGCATCGCCCCAAACAAACATGGCGCGGTCATTAGCATACGCGAGGTAATCAAACTCCTCTTCATCCTGTGGTTTGAAAAGGTCAGCATCCTGTTCCGCTTGCGTCATATTTCCTTGCGTAGCCCCTTCCTCCGTCGCTGTCTTTTCACTCACGATCCCTGCCCCCGACTTCTCTTCTGATCCTCCTTCGGGCCCCGCCTCGGCGCGTATCTCTGCTGTCGCGCTGTCTAGTTCGGCGGCTGCGCCGCTGGGGTTGTTGGCGTATGCATCCGCGTTTGCTTGTTTATCCAAAGCGTCGAAGTCGGGGAGACCGGGGACGTGAGCCTGAACTATGCCCCAAGCTACCCACATGGCTGAGTTGGCGAGGCGCCAGAGTTTGGTCTCGGCGAGGAGGCGACGGGTTTCTTCTTCGATTTGGCGCTCTGCAGCGGCTTCTTGCTCTTGGTACTGTGAGCCGGGTGGGGCGCGTGAGTCGAGCATGAAGGCGGAGATGTTGCTGGGTGCGGCGGTCGCTGCTAGGGCGGTTGTACTTCCTGAGGAGGGGAGAGGGCCTAGGTGGGGGGTAGCGGGGTTGGAAGTGTAGCCTCCGGCTGCTTTGTAGGAGGGGTTGTGCATTAGGTATGCTCGGATGAAGCGGTGCTGCTCCTCGACGGTTGGGTAGTACTTGGTGTTACACCTCCACGGTACATCGGCATCGTGGTAGTTGTATGTCCATTCGGTCTAGCTTTTGGTCAGTACAGGCCTCAAATGTGTGAGGAGTAGTGAAGGATCGAAGGGATGAACGGGAATATCTTACGAAGTGGTTGGCAAACTCCAGACCCGGAAGGTTCGCATTTGCGTACTCGAAGTCGATAACCACTAGCTGCTTGTGCTGGTTCGCAGGAAGCAGTAGGGGCGACTCGCCCTCTGGCACCATACGCAGGATGTTACCATACTGGGTCTACACAGGGTCAGCTCAGGATACTTCTGTAGAGTAAAATGGCCTACGTCGTTGTGGGCAAAGATCATGCGCTCGTTGATCTTGTCTGCACCACCGTACTGTTCCTCCAACCACCTCCTGTACTTCTCAACCATCTGCCTGAATACTGGCCACTCCATACCACATACGTAACCTCGCTTCTTCCACTTGTCGCCAGGGCCTAGCGCAGGGTCTTGCTTGCTCTCGCGCACCCGGTCGTCTAACCAGGTGACAATCTGCTCACAACGGTCAACCCACTTATCCCAGTTTTGCCATACGAATGGGCCAGCTTCTCGCTCTTCCTTGAGAAGATCAATGCCCTCATGCAGCTCTCGCATACGCTTTGCGATCTGCTTTGAAGTCTCTGCGTTGCGCAGTTCCTTCGCGGTCAACGGCTTTGCGTGGAGGAACTCCTCAAAGCGTCCGTTGGTGAAGGTACCAAGCAGACGCGGACCAATTCGCTTTCGAGCGAGGCGTGTGAGGATCTGTAGTTCAGACTCTCGGTCGATCAGATGTTCCACCTGAGGACCGTAGATACGTAGTAGAAGCTTACTAGAGAGTGTTAGACTTGTTTCGCTTACGTTCAAGGTGACTCACGGAGGAGGGTTCTTTGGCTTAGGTTGACCATCCTCACCCTGCTCTTGAAGCTGCAGATTCTTGGGAGGCGAGACAACGTATACAGCGTTCGTCAGCGCGCCACTCAGCCTCTGCACATCAATTTCATTGCTCTGCTCCATGGAGACCTTGCGCCATCCCTTGAGCTTCAGAGTATGAGCCAGACGGAGGATTTCAGCTCGGAACTTGGTCCACGCCTCTCTCTCCTTGCGTGCTTCTTTGTCAGATAGTTGTGGGGCCGATTCGGCATCTGACTCGTCCACGTTGTATGCCATAGTCTTCGAATTATCCAAGATGGCCTCGCAACTCGGGACCAGCTGGTCTACGGACTCGAAATAGTCGGTGTCGAGGGAAATGGCAGAGTGTCGCTTCAAGCCTGTGGAAGACCTGCGGAAGTGTTGCATCCTCTTTTTAGCGTCGGCTGGCTTCATAGCTAGGGTCTTCTCGAGGATGTGCGCCAGTTGGTCGAGAGAGTCCTCGCCGTGGGACGACGAAGAGCTGGTCCTAGTAAGCGCGATGGGCTCTTCAGTCGTCTCATCAGCCTCAGTTGATGTCTTTTCCTGGACGACGCCCTCTTTGGCGGCTTTACGTTTTGCCCTCCGTGCATGGCGTCGGCTTCGCTCGTGCTTGAGCCATGTGCCTACCTGCTTCAACAGGTTCTCGTGCGCATGCTGCCCATGAGGAGCATCGGTTGAGCTATCCGAAAGCAGAGAAGACAAAGATGGGTTACCCTCAGCTGGTACTCCTCTAGGAGTTGATGACAGACGCTCGACTGAGGGCCGTCCAGATAGTTTCTTTCTACTGACACTCGCGGGGTAGTGTTTTGCAGGTCTGTCAAGATCCAAGTAATCCCTCTGGTCAAGTTCTTTGTTCTTCCCGATCATCAGTGGAGAGATGGCAGTGTCGTCGGGAAAGGAAACAACTGTGAGCGCGTGGTTAGCAATTGTTCGTTAAGCACTTGGTAGGTAAGATGACAGTGTATCAGCTAAACATCTTGTTCATTGTTCTCGGACTTGCAGTCGCTCGTTTTGCTACATGCACATAGCTAAGCTATAGCCAGATAGCTGGTGTAGTATTTGAGATTCTACTCGGCGTTCGAGCAAGAGAGTTGTTGGTCACTGCGGAGTCACAACGGTCTACAGCTACCTCGCTGGTAGAATCACGATTCCAACAAAGTGATATAGTTTCATCACCAGAGCTTGCAAGCCATATTTCAAGAAAACAAACAGGAACTGACCTTTGGTAGAACGCGGCGACGCGCCATCCACTGGAGTAGCGTTCTGCGAGAGGGCAGACGAGTCGCTTCGGTGGGGGACGCTGGGCCGCGACTGCTCATTGGAGGAATCCGCCATGGCGATTGCCTAGAATGTGCAGCCTGGTGTGCGGAAGTGAAATAAGCAGGATCGACCGCGTGGTAATATGTAGCTCCCCAGACGGGTCCGAAGGTGCTGTAGTGAGGTCTCGAAATAAACGTGCCCTACTTGGTGGGTAGGAACGGCGGGTTGTTTGGTGGGCGGTGTTATCGATACCTAGTGCGGCAGGAACGCCAGAAAGTACACGCGAGCTCAGGGTCCACGTGCCAAGCTGATTGGCGGTAAGGATCGCTGAGGAGAGGAGACGAGGTGAAGAGGAATGTGAAAAGTCTCGAGGCGTCTATAACCAGATCTTGATTGAAATAGAAGTTTCAAAGGTAGAGCATCATCATCGCTGGAACAGACGGCAGTGTGGTGTGTAGCTGGTCCCTACGCTATCTCCAGAGCTATTGGGCAGCTATCGGCCTCCGAGATTCCAGTTCCCAGCCTTGGCAGTCTACGTCAGGTTTTGGTACGCCAGAAACTTGGACACGAAGGTGCTGAGCGCCATGTGGCGAATTACCTTCTGGGCTTCGCGCTCGAATTCGAAGTCTTTTCGCAAGGGACTTTGGGTGTGGACATTAGTAGATTAATAAGTCGACAAGGTGGTTTGCCAGGGCGAATTGTCTTCATGTGCTCAACAGTACTCAGAGGTTGTCGTAGAATGGACTCCCCCTTGAACCGATCGGACCTCTCGAATCGCGGTACTTCAGAGTAGCCGCAGTTCGAGTGGCTCGATCGGTTCAAAGAAGAGGCTATCCTCCGACAACCTCCAAACACCGGAACAACGTTAAAAGTGTATATACAAACTGCTTTTCATTGCAGTTCTCTGCCATGTTCCCAATCAATGCAACTACCAAACCCATTCCCAGTTACCAGAACGCCTCGCTTTGAAACCCAATTACATATCGCAACACGGGAGGGTGCGCCGTGTCCTTCCAAGCACTAACACTGCAACGAACAAGTGACTCATTTGGCCCATTCCACTGTCTCCAGTGCAAGCATGACCAGAAGAAGAGTCGACGGCAGGATCCAGACAACGTAGCTCTGGAACAGAATTCTCGACATGGCGCCCATGTACACGTTGTTGATCTGGCAGATCTGTGCCAGCTGCAGCGCACTAGGTGCTCCACTGAGAAGGAAGCAAACAATGATGAAGATCGGGTCGTCGAGAATACTGACAGGCACGTACTTGGCGGTTAAAGCAAGCATAGGTGCCATGAGAAGCGTCGGAATAAGCATGCGGCTAACGAGAGAAGCAATGACAAGCTTCTTCTCAACACTTGGGTCTTCCATCGAGTGCTGGTCCTCCTTGGGCAGAGTGTTACGGGCAAGGTTGGCACCCAAGACGACCAAGATCAGGGGGACAGCGACTTGTCCGCTCTGGTTGACAGCGCGCGTCACGGAGTTGCTGACGAATGTTCCTGGGTCGAAGAAGAGGTGTTGTAGCGGAGGGATAGAGGCGACAAGGATGGCGATCAGCATAGCCCAGAGGGGAGGGTTCATAAAGTCCCAGACGCCCTTGAAGAACCTTGACAAAATATGGCCAATCTTGGCAAGAGGTCCCTGGAGCCATGTGGGAAGAGCGTTGAAGACTCTGTTTCCAGCGCGAGTTGTAGAGACGGAAACGGTGCTGGCGGAGCGCTTCAATGCCATGCCAGCTCGCTTTGGCATTCCCTTGATACCCTTGGGAGCATTCTGCTTCTTCTTGTGCGCCTCGAGAACACCATTAAGATGACCGTTGGCATAGCCGTTGCTGCTTCCGCTCATGTCGCCTTGGCCCGGGACAGTTGCGTTGCCGTTGGTGGGTGTGATGAAGTCGGTCTCTGCCTGAGCGTCGCGGTTGAACAGAGAGTCTGAGTCGGACTCGTCGGAGTCAGCGGAAGTAGCGTAGCTGGTGACGTTGCCAGATTCGTAGTCAGAGTGCGAGTCATCGAGAAGACGTTGCGCCTCGTCATCGCTGTACTCTCCGTTCTCGATAGCACTGTTCTTGCCGCCATCTTCGTCTTTGTAGGCGCTGGCCGGCGCTAGGAGCACGTTGAAGCCCCATGTCCATCGCACGAGCTGGCCGAGTTGTTGGAAGATGAGTAGGTAGAGGATACCGCGCGCGCCGACATCGTTGTCGTTGTCGCCTGGAACCTTGTCCCAGTGCAGACCGGACAGTGTCTTGGAGAGGGAGATGACGAGGGAGATTGGAAGCGAGTTTGAGTTTCCGAAGACCTGAGAACGTCAGTTTGTGTTGTTTGCCTGGTTAGGAACATGACATACCGCCATGGCGACCACAAAGTTGGAGGCCCGTTTGTTGAATCTGCATACTTTCGATACGATGAGCGCGGCAAGGTAGGATATAAGTGTCTGTACGATGAAGATTACGGGAATGACGGCCAGATCAGCCAGCTTTTCGGCCGTCAGTTGCGATGCGAGCTTGGTAAAGACTGGATGTGGTTAGCTGAGGTTTGGAGGTTATGAAGAAGCTCGTTCTCGCGTTGTACCCGCAAACAGACCCATGTAGTTCAAAGGTACTCATAGGCTCCCCGTTGCTAATGTAGAGCTCGAGGAGTACCTCATGAATACAGCTTATGAAGGTGTGACTGATACAAACGAGCGTCATGGTTATCGGAGGTAGTCACTTACTAAGGCAGGGTGTAAACAGCTGCGTGTTGAGGTTGGCGAGGAACTTCTGGCTCTCCGCGTCGAATTGGCCCATTCGCGCGACAATGTAGCCAGGCGCGCTGACGCAGACAACCTCCATAACAGCCTCGAAGACGAGCAGGGTGAGGTTGGCGAAGTCGGGATGCGCACTGTGCTTGTTGCTCTTGAAGACATTGAACATGCCATTGTCGCCGTACTCGTACGACTGAGAGGCCATGGCGACGAAATCCGAGGAGTAAGTGGGAGGGCTGCGCAGGCGCAAGGCCTGGGGAGCCGAGAAGAAAGGCATGCCGATGCCAGAGGTGTTGTTGGGAAGGCGCGAGGGCGCGATGGGCACGGAAACACACGACTTATCTTGAAGCGCACCGCGTCTTGGCTGCGGACGCGCTATGGGCGGAGATCGACGTCACAGCCCGCTCCAAGTCTAGCGGAAAGGCAAGTTGAGCCGCGAGCCCTGCAGGAACTGTACGAGGAAGTCTGAATGGGTTAAGGAAGTCGTTTGGAAGAGCGATCGCCCAGCTACACGTCGCAAATGATTCACACACGGCCGTGGTGGGCTAGAGCTTATCGTCACCCAGCGCCTAGATGGGACTCAGGGCCTCTCAGCATCTCCCGCGTCCCTGCGCCTCAGGTCGGCGGGCTGGGCGGCATGCAGCTACATCGAAAACTGGCAGGACATCGGCCACACCGAATGCTGTCTTGACTGATGGGCAATGCATCAACTCACGCAGCATTCGCTAGGTTCCCCATGGCTTGGTCATTACCGCATACTGCTTCTGCGCGCGCAATCCTGCTGGCGAGACTCGGTTCGGGGCTGCTTAACCGCATACAGCTGCAGTCCCTGCTTGCGCATTCCCATGTCTGAGGCCAGGTGAAAGCAGGCTTACAGGCGGCCGGCGCACGCAAAGCAGGAACTGTCCCTAAGCCACCGCACTAGAAATATCGCGGGAGCCCCTTTTGCCAGCTGCATCTCCGTTGTACGCCATGGTGGTTACCGTGTGGCCAGACCCATCATTGTGAAATCATTCCAGATTGCAGCAGCACCAGTAGTAGCGTCGTCTCTGCAGCATCACGTCACAGCTCCAACTTGCACGCTACCAGACAACCCACAACCACGACACCTCCACCAGACTACCAGATCCGCTAAGATCGCCGCCGTCACTCCCTCCGCGGTGTAATCGCAGCCTCTGAACTCACCTCACACCTGCGCCTTTTATTCCTATCTCCCTACCCTCTTCCGCTTCCTCGCCCTAGTACCCCGCCAATATCAGGCCGCGACTTTTATCTGTCTTTCGCCATGGCCTCCAATCCCTCCACCCCCGACACGGAAGTCGACGCCGATACCGTCTTCGATAGTCCCTCGCCCTCGCCTGCACCCTCGAGTCCTACCGCCGATGCCACCCCGCCTGACGAACCCGCTGCCGAGCGCCCTCCTCCCCGAACTGCATCCACGACATCAGCCGCGACACCTAACATGACATCCTCCTCAACACCACTCGGAAACATCAACGCTGCCAGGAATCCCCGTCCTTCGAATCCTCCTACCATCTCCAGCCGAGGCAGCGGTCTCAATGTCTCCCAAGACATCCTTGCCAGGATACAGGCAGTGCATCTCGGCAGAAAGGGCGCTCCGCCGACTGGTCTGCCTGGTAGAGGGCCTGCGCCTCAGAGTCCTGGCCCATCTCCCGACAGCCGTAACCCCATGTCGCCGGGTCCTCACCCAGGAGGTGTACCCAGCAACTTCCGAATGCCTGTGAGACCGCCTGCGACTAACTTCCAATCGGCACCAGCAGTTCCTGGTCGTGGACCACCTGCCAAGCAGTCTATAGCAGAGAAGCGCGGCATGAGGTTCCCAGGCGGACTCCCAGGCGGATTGCCAGGCTCGTCCCCAACTGCAGGCGGTGCTCCTCCCGCCGGCAAGAAGAAGCCCGGATTGACTCTCTCGCAGATGAACGGAGGACCCGAACCTGATGCAGGCGCAGAACCGAAGAAACAAGAAACTCACTTTGACAAATTCTCTCAGTTCGTCGATACAAAAACCGGCAGTCTCAAGTTTGCCGGCAAGGCCGTCCTCAACTCAGACGGTGTGCAATTCGCGAGCGGTACCTCCTTCAACATCTCCCTGGACGAAGTTGATACACTAGACGAGCTTGGCAAGGGAAACTACGGCACAGTATACAAAGTTAGACATAGCAGACCGCGAATGCGGAAGCCAGGGCAGGGTCTAGCGGGTAACAAGGCTGCGCCAGGCTCGCCGTCGCGAAAGGAATTTGGCGAAGAAGCGAGCCCTACCAGTGCGAAGCCAGCTGCGGGGACCGGCATAGTCATGGCAATGAAGGAAGTGAGGCTCGAGTTGGACGACTCAAAGTTCGCTGCTATCATCATGGAACTCGACGTCCTGCATCGCTGCGTTTCACCCTTCATCGTCGACTTTTACGGTGCTTTCTTCCAGGAAGGTGCGGTGTACATCTGTATGGAATTCATGGACGGAGGCTCCATAGACAAACTTTACGCCGACGGTGTGCCCGAGGGCGTCTTGCGCAAGATCACCATGGCCACGACTATGGGTCTGAAGTCACTCAAGGATGATCACAACATCATTCACCGAGACGTGAAGCCTACCAACATTCTCATGAACACCAAGGGTGCGATCAAAATCTGTGATTTTGGTGTCAGTGGAAATCTCGTCGCCAGTATTGCCAAGACCAACATCGGGTGCCAAAGTTACATGGCACCTGAGAGGATATCTTCAGGCGGCATCGCACAAGCAGGCGCCAACCCTGGAGGCGGCACATACAGCGTACAAAGCGACATCTGGAGTTTGGGACTGACAATCATCGAGTGCGCTCTGGGGCGGTACCCGTACCCACCAGAGACGTACAACAACATCTTCAGTCAGCTCAGCGTAAGTTTTCACCTTGTGTTCCCACGTCAACTACTAACTCTCTCTAGGCTATTGTCGATGGTGAGCCTCCGGATCTGCCTGAGAGCGGATACTCTGACGCGGCGCGCAACTTTGTACGCGGCTGCTTGAACAAGATTCCCAACCTTCGGCCAACATATGCCATGCTGCTTCAACATGCATGGCTTGCACCTCTCGCGAAGCCCGACACAATTACAGAAGAAGACGAAGAGGAGGTTGAAGCCGCAGCCGAGGCCGAGGGTGGCGAAGCAGCAGGCGACCAGGGACCTGCTGAGGCGATCGAGCCTGTAGAAGATCAAGAAGTCGCCGACTGGGTCAAGGCTGCCATTGAGAAGAGGAGGAGCGGCAAGATGAAGGGCGTCGAGAAGCCCGCACTGCATGCCGCACCTCTTGATGCAGCGACACAGAGCCCATCACCTAACGGTACAAATGGGCTAGAAGAGGCGGGCTCAGTAGAAGCCGCGGCATAAACCTCTCGAATGGACGAAAATATTTGGCTCATTCACGAGAACATCAGGCCGCGCCAGTAGCAGCCTTATGGGTTTACGGCGTTGTATAGGCGTATTGCATGGGACGATTGTCGTGGAGCATTGAAATCGGGCCATTGAGCGTAGAGGACACATGTACCTAGCATAGCATACACCTTGTCCAACTGGACGAATAACACACTTCAAGTCGCCAACCTGCAGTCATTGGATGTAGTGAGGAATCATATGTGGCTTTACTGTCTGCTTACAGAACCGCGTCTTCGTAGTGGAGGAATTGCTGTCGGCGTTGCATGGTTGGGAGTGACGTAAGCGGAGAGCGCTTTGACACGTGATCGGAACCCCTGCTTAGCCAAGATTGCTCGCGGCGGCCATCTGTCGTGGTGCGGGAAAGAACACAGTGGTCGGAACAACTTCAATAAGTAGCCACGACCTTCTTTCGTACGCCGCCCCCACCTTCTTTGTAATGCCACAGGCCTAGCATCACTTTTCTTCCCTTCTGCTGGAATCGTAGTCGACAAACCCCGCAATCACCTTCAGTCGCTCTCTCGCGTACTCAGACACGTCCGTAAGGACAGACATTCGCCATGTCCGGGACAGATTACAACTACGATGAACAGGTACACTTTGCATGCGCCACAAATGTAAACAAATGCTAACAACCTGCAGGGCCAGTTCTTCCCCTACTTCATCCTTACCGTTACCACTCTCGTCACCGTTCCGACTACAGTTTCATTCTTCAGATCAAGCAAAGGTGCGCGCTCCTCGCCACTTCCACGTAGCGCCATACTAATACATCACCAGAGCTCGAAAACACTGGATCGCGGATAGAGTCTGACTTCACCCCCGAACATGCCGATCTCATCCAAGGACAGCGCAAGAAGCAGAAGCGACTCGAGAGGAGGATAAAGCGGGGTCTTCTCATGGTGGGCGGATGGGCGATGAATGCCGCCATGATATACCTCATCAGCACTACTACACGGAGTACGCCTGATATCTGGGATCCCTATGAGGTGCTGGGTGTCTCTACGGTACGACCGCTGCCTCTGTCGCGAGCTTTGGACAGCCTGCTAACTTGCACATCAGGGCGCCGATGAGAGGGCGATCAAGAAGCACTACCGAAAACTGTCCCTCACTATGCACCCCGATAAGGCACGCCCAGACCCCGAGAAGAACATTACCATACAATCCATCAACGACCACTGGGTCGACGTCGTGAAGGCGTTCAAGGCTCTTACCGACGAAGAGATCCGCCGGAACTTCCTCGAATTCGGTCACCCAGATGGCAAGCAAAGTTTCAGCATCGGCATTGCGCTACCTCAATGGCTCGTGACGGAAGGAGCTGGCAAATACGTCCTGCTCATCTATGCGCTCGCCCTCGGTGTCATTCTCCCATACACGGTCGGAAAGTGGTGGTACGGAACACAGAAGCTGACCAAGGATAAAGTCCTGGTAGCCAGCGCTGGCAAGGTTTTCCGCGATTACGACAACGACCAAGGCGAGGTGGGTGTCATACACGCGCTCAGCAGCGGAGAGGAGTTCAACGAAGTTCTCACTGGACACAAAGCGGAGAATGGTCTTTCGAAGCTCGAACAGAAGGTCCTCTCTGAGAACTCTGGATCTCTCATTGCGCAAACACTCACCAAGAAGGACCGACAGAAGCTAGACGATCTGGAGGACAGCCGGCGACGCAAGGTTCTGACTTTGTTGTGGGCATACCTTGGCCGCGTTGAACTGGACGACGAGACTCTGAACGACGAGAAGTTCGAGGTCGCGCCAATCGCACTCCGACTCAATGAAGCTTACACCGCCATCGCTCTCGCATACGGCAACACCAAGGCGATACTATCGGCTTACAGGACCTCTCAGAATCTCATCCAAGCTCTACGACCAGGCGCATCACCGCTTGAGCAGCTGCCACATTTCACACCCGATGTTGCCAGTGCGGCTGAGGCTGCGCGAGCAAAGTCACACTTGACCATCCAAGAGTTCATGCAAATACCCGAAGCTGAACGTAAGGCTCGTGTTGTCAAGTCTGGTCTCCTATCCCAAGAACAATACAGCACAGCCATGACTGTAGCCTCGCGCATTCCAATGTTTCATCTGGAAAAGGCATTCTTCAAGGTCGTTGGTGAGCGTTTTGTCACACCTAGCAGCTTGGTCCAGTTCGTACTCAAGGGTCGTTTCATCCCGACCGCTGCCACCAACGTCCCCGAGGTCAACCCGAAGGACCTACTAGATATCGATCCCGCGGAAGGCGATGTTGCTGCAATCACCGGACGTAAGAACGACCGTTCTGGAGAGAAGCCCATCCAACCGCCTCTAGCATTCGCTCCATACTACGCTCGCGACCACGCGCCAAGATGGCATGTATTCCTTGCAGACAGCAAGCAAGGACGTATTGCAGTACCACCATTCACTTTCTCGACTTTCGACAAGCCCATCCTTGACGAGAGCGGTAACCCCACCTACAATGTACAGACTCTCAAGATGCAGTTCGGCGCACCACCACAGCCTGGCAGCTACACCTTCGTCATGCACATGATCTGTGATAGTTACATCGGCATGGACACCAAGATGGAGGTTACCCTTGTTGTCGAGGATGCCAGTAAAGCGGAAGAGGTAGAAGAGGAAGACGAGATCAGCGAACCAGAAGAGGGTAAGACAATCTTATATCAAGCGTATGTAACAATGCTAACACATCCGCAGATTCATTGGCAGGCCAAATGCACCAAATGAAGACCGGAGCCCCACCAAAGAAGCGGAAACAGATCACCAATGACGACAGCAGCGGCAGTGACACCGAAGGCGACGTCGAATCCGAGAGTGAAACCGACACTGACACCGACTCGGATGATGAGTAGAAACCTCCATCCGGTCTACCAGTAAAATGGTTCTCAATCTCTTTTTGGGGCTATGAATTTTGTGTTACAAGAGACTAGCTGCCTCGCACTATCGAGTTGGCCTCAATTCCTCACTCTTCCTACAGGCTCCCTTCGGAGCTGAGGGGTATTCCTCAGGATTCTCTTTATGTCGTAACACGTGGCGCGGCAAGAAGGCATTAGTAGGCGTTCCGGAGAGGGTTATATACAATGGCGCGCGTTTTGAAAGTTGGAATGAGGGATTCGCTTTCTCGAATTTCGATTGCTGTGAGCGCTTTTGACTGCTATGGAAGATTCCGTTCATTGAAGAGGAAGAACGAGAAGCGCGACTACTACATGGGAATAGGAGAGGATCATTAGGAGTATTGATGCGTGTGTGTAGATATCCAGGTCAGAAATTGACGTTGAGTAACTTTCGACATGATGGCGCCTTCTCCATCTTCATCTTCATCTCCATCTACCCATCCTATCCTGCCTGTGATGAGGAAGTTGAGCAACTCCACTAAATATAGACAGGATCAATCAAGAACTTCTCTCCCGACCAAGCCTGAGCTAAGACGATCTACCTGGCCTGTTACCGTCGATCAAGCACGTAGCCTCAGGAAGACAAGGCATCCGAGAAAAAGACGAACACCTGGCCTGGCCTTAATGCATATACGATATCAACGATATGCGTGCCCTTGTCGGGGATCTGCAACGTGGCTGGTGCGGTCCTCAACTGGTGGGGTTTCAGGTGCGTCGCAGCGTGTGGTGTTCACTCATCACCTCGACAGAGTCGACACCTTCAAACGGGAAGTAGCGATGTGACAGCGATGGCAGAGTCAGGGCAAAATAGTAAGAGTAGTGATATAGGTGATTGTGATTGGCGAGTTAGGGGTGCATATGGGGGTGGTGGTGGTGCAGTGGCATCGACTCGTGGGTATCAGCACAAAGGGAAGCGTTTCTATCGGCATGAAAGGTAGGTCATGCGCATCAACACGAAGGATGGCGTTCTTATCGATAAGAAGAGCAAGTATGACGGTAGCTTGGGTATCGCATAGTGGTCTTACGACAACCGTTCGTATGGACGCGCACAACCACCAAGCATCCTTTCCATCTCCACACGCAGCACAGTCGCACTTGAACGCAGCACAGTCCCAGATCAACGCAGATCGACGTCCCCTTCCCCTGCCCAGCGTAACCGAAAATCACCGAAAATACTGCCTGAGGACGTCGCTAAGGCATGAAGCAGCGACCCCAGCCTTGGCTCCCGATCGGATACCACGGCTCCGCTAACCTAAGGCTCATACAACAAGGCCTCAGGTCGCAAGGCAATCAGGACAAAACAGTCAAGCAAATCTTGGCAACCGTTTTAGTGCACATCATCTGTCTTGGCAAGATACGGGAGTGGAGTGCGCCGGTAGCAAAGTGTGCCAGTGGCGAGTTACTGAGGCACCCAAGGCTACGATGGTACGTGTGTCACATCTCTACGGCAATACAGGGGCGGCAAAGGCAAGTGCCGACATATCGATGTGTTCCCTGGGCATTAACGACGTCGTTTTGTCGATGGCAGTGGTTGGATAAAAGCTGAAGGAAGGACGCATGAGTTTACCTTCTCATCCCACACTCACTCTTCTTCCGGCCTTCTTCAGTCCTTCCTTCCTTAATTCCCGCTTTCGATTCTTTTAGCGACTTTGATAGTCTGCTTATTACCACTTTCTTTGAACCTTTTATACACATACGTCTGTGACGTTTAATCTTTACCTTCTTTATAATCACGATACTACCGTCTTTACCCTTTTAGGACTACTTCATCATCAACATGTCTATCAAGGCTATTGCTACTATCGCGCTTGCGGCTGGTCTCGCTGGTAAGTTCTCCAAACCAAACACTCAATCATATGACGCAACATACTAATCCACCCTCACAGCCGCAAAGCCCATCAACACCCCTGCCAAGCGCCAAATCGGCTTCAACTCCGTCGTCAACGGCTTCAACGGCAACGACGGCGCCTTCAACTTCATCGACGGCTTCAACAACTTCAACCAGCAACAACAAGTAATCCAGATCCAGCAGGAGAACCTCCAGATCATCGACAACGGACGTCAACAAGCCGTCGTCCAGCAAGTGGAGCAAGTCCTCATCGTCGACCAGGTCAACAACGGCTTCAACAACGACCTCAACAACCTCTTCCGCAAGAGCAACTTCCAGAACCAGTTCCGCGATGTCGCCACTGTTACCCTTGTTGTGCAGGAGATCCAGATCGCCATCGACGACGGCCGCGGCAACCAAGTCCAGCAAAACATCTTCGCTCAGTCCGCCGTTGTCGCTAACCGCGGCGCCCGCGAGACACAGACTGTCATGGTCTTCGACAGCCGAACGCTGATCGCCCAGGACATTCTCGGCGGCGACGCCTTCGGCAAGCTCGGTGGCTTCGGCGGTATCGCAGGCGCGACTGGCGCGTTGGACGGCGCAATGCCCACCAAGACAGCTGGTATCCAGCTCTTCGGTGCGAAGCCCACTTGGTCGGCTGTTGCCGAGGACCCAGCTGCGACTCTCGGTGCTATCTGGCAGGGTGCTCTCCAGGACCTCCAAGATGCGCAGAACGACGAAGCGGACAACAAGCTCAACGAACAGATTGCTGCTGAGGAGTTGAAGGCGCTTCTCGAGGGTCAAGACGGCCAGGACGACAACAAGGATGGCGAGGACAACGCCGACGACAAGGCCGCTGAGGAGGAAGCCAAGAAGGCGGAAGAGGAGGCTAAGAAGCAAGAGGAAGAGCAGAAGAAGGCTGAGGAGGAAGCTGCCAAGGCCGACGCTGAGGAGGCTAAGAAGCAGGAAGAGGAGCAGAAGAAGGCTGATGAGGCTGCTAAGCAGGAGGCTGAGCAGGAGAAGAAGGCTGAGGAGGAGGCCGCGAAGAAGGAGGCTGAAGATGCGAAGAAGGCAGAGGAAGAGGCTGCTAAGAAGGATGCCGAGGAGCAGAAGAAGGCGGACGAGGAGGCTAAGGCTCAGGATGAGGCGGACAAGAAGGCTGAGGAGGAGGCGAAGAAAGCTGAAGAGGCCAAGGCTGCTGAGGAAAAGAAGGCAGAGTAAGATACTCTAGAGTGATGGCTCGCGCTCTCTGCAGCAGAGCGACGATGCGCGGAATATGTATACCCTGAGAGGCTTTTGTTAGTTGCTCTCTTACCTACCTAGGTAGTTCAAGTGCTGCGTTTGCAGGACCGGTATCAGCGAGACTGGACCGCGAAAATTGGTTACGAAATTGAATGAATAAATTTCCTTCTTTCACTACATGGCGCACTAGTCTAAATGCATTTACGGTGACGGGATGAGCTCGTGTTGATGTACTCACCTTCAATAATAGTGAAATGTCAATTTCTGCTGATTGTGACGACTTTTATCGGGTTATCTCTCCACACTATGGGCTTCGCATTCTCTCCCGATGTTAAATTATTAGGCATCGAGACTACAAACATGCCATCGCCTCCTGTATTACTGCGCCTCTACTGCAACAAGACTCGGCTACTGATCGGAAGCATACTGCTTTTCATCTGCCTGCATATATTGTTTGGTTGCTCAATCTTCAACATTGTCCCATCGGGTACACCTGCTACCCCAAATCTCGCCAACGCTATACCCGAATCCATACCCTGGACTCCTAAAAGATTGCAAGCAGACCTGCGCATCTCAAAAGCGACCATATTATACAACTTCAGGCAACATGATAGAGACAATCTCGCCCTCGACGAACTCCACACCCAAAACTTCAGATACACAAGCCACATTCTCCAAACACCTATAGTGCGAGGCGCTCTGAACAAGTTCCTCTACCTCCAGTCTCTCATCATCACCGAACTTCAAAAACCAATCGAAGATCAAAAAGAATGGATACTCTACCACGACCCTACCGTCATCCTCGCAAATCAACACATACCACTCCACCACTTCCTCCCACCCATCACGGATGTCGAAACATTCAAGACCCTGTCTATCATTGCTACGAAATCCGAAAGTGAAGAACTAAGTGCCGCGGTCTTCTTCATTCGGGTTAGCGGCGGCTCACTGCGTATCTTGACTGAAGCCATGGAGATGATATACAACTTGCCAGACAACGGAGATGAAAACGAGGAATTTAATGTGGCAGCGACAGTCCTCCAAACTATCCTATCCCGCCCCCACCACCTCGAACACGCCATCTATCAACCCGCTGAATGGTATAATAGTACCTCGTCTCTCTTCTACCAGCCCTACTATCTAACGCTGGCGCATCGTCTCCTCCCCGTCCACTACACCCAAACTATACCAGGTGAAAAAGAAGGAAGCAGTCTGATGTTCCCTGATGCAGACACGGTACACCGTTTTTGGCACGTTGTGCGTGAAGCGCGGCGCGTGTTGAACGAAGCGAAGGAAAAGGGCCATACGAGTGAACAGGGAGAGTGGTGGGAGATGGTAGCGGAGGTGAAGGAATGGGTTGAGGGTAGGGCTTGGGACACGGAGGAGTTGGAAAGAAGGGTAAGGGTCCTGAGGGAGGGGTTGGATATTGGCTGATCTCTTACAATTGAGCATGAATCTGGTGACAGTAGGTTCACGGTGCGGTGACCATGTCATGAGTTATTTTGCGGGTTGTCTCGATCGGCCTGCTGTTTTGAGACGGAGGCAGTTGGAAGGATTCCGCGGCCGGGATGAATGCTTCTAATCTGAGCACATGGATTTTACTGAGCTTGGGGGAAATGACGACGTAGGGCGCAGGCCAAGTCGGACGACTCTCCTCCGGACGGTTCTCCTCTTCCAATCATGTATGATGGTTGAACTGGGCGTCTCGGGTAGCACGGCTTGATGTCGAGTAAGCGAGGTTTTATCCCCGGACTGCATGCTCGACATCTCTTCATATAGTAACATATCGCGTGCCCACAGTTCGAGATGTAGAGGACTCCTCTATACTCACCGCTCACCATGCCGCCATCACCAGAAATAATACCAGTGCAAGACACCGCACCACCAATTAACCCATCCAAAAAGACCACAGCACCCAAGACCAACCAGCCAACTCCAAACAACGCAGCAGAGCCCTACTCCGCCTTCCCGCAATCCACCCGCACCTACCTAACCTACATCCTCGGCATAATCCAACTAATCTCCACCCTAACAACAACAATCTACTTCCCGCTCATCCCCACCCTCAGCACCCACTTCTCCGTCTCCATCCAAGCCATCAACTTAACCGTAACCGTTTACGCAATCTGCCAAGCCATATCCCCGGGTATATTCGGTTCACTGGCAGATTCCTATGGCCGCCGACCCGTACTACTCGGTCTCGTTACTATGTACACGCTAGCGAGTCTGGGTCTCGCGTTGAACAAGAACGATTATCCGGTGTTGATTACGCTGCGAGCGTTTCAGAGTATAGGTGGTTCGGCGACGGTGCCGATAGCGTATGGGATTGTGGCTGATGTTGCTGTGGTGTCGGAAAGAGGGGGGATGTTGGGACCGATGTTGTCGACTTGTAATGGGATTTCGGCGTTTGGACCGGTTATTGGTGGGGCGTTGGCGATGAAGTCGACGGGGCATATGGGCGTCTTCATGGCGCTGTTGGGGATTGCGGTTTTGTGTCTTCTTCTCGTGGGGTTTGTGCTGCCGGAGACGTCGAGGGGGATTGTGGGAATGGAGGGAGGCCTGCGACGGGGGTTTGGCGGACTTGGATATCGCTTCTCGGACGGAAGAGTAGCGATCAGGCGGTGTCCACTGTTACGGAGCGAAATGCGATGCCCAAGCCTTCCCAGACACTCTCGAGAATCTTCGACTCGATACGCATGATCCGTCATCCGGACGCTGCCGTGATTCTCTGGATGGTCGCTTCGTCCTACGGAATCTACTATACCTTCCAAGTGGCCCATTCCGTCATCTTCAAAGACCTATACAACTACAACGAGCTACAAATCGGACTAAGCTTCCTACCTGCGCTGGCTGGCATGACAATCGGCGGGACGATAGCCGGCAAACTCATGGACATAAACTACGCGCACCACGCGCGTCAAGCCGAGATTGTCGACCCAGCGAACATTCTGGACTTCCCAATCGAACGCGCTCGATTCAGGAATATGGTTCCATTGATTCTAATCGAGACGGCACTGGTGATAGGCTATGGATGGACGGTGCAACAACACACTCACCCTGCCGTCCCTCTTGTACTGGAATTCTTCGTTTCCGCACTGGCTACGCTGCTGAGTCATACTGCGAATGCGCTGCTCGTGGATGTGTTTCCTGAAGTACCGAGCACGGCGTACGCGTCGGGTCAGCTTGCGCGAGGGGCGTTTAGTGCTGCGTCTGCTGCTATCATTGATCCTCTGGTGCGCGCTGTGGGTCGCGGGTGGTACTTTACCATCTTCGCGGCGTTTACCGAGACGGGCTGTTTAACGTGTGTGACTTTGAGTCGGTGGGCTGGTATGAAGTGGCGGCGGAAGAGGTATTTGAGAGCGAGTCGCGAGTCTGGAGAGAGCGCGAGTAACCAGGGAGTTTGAGACTGGTTCCCGCCCGCTGGCAACTACGATCATCAGGATCATCATCCCGGATTTTGATCGAGCTCTGGAGTCAGAGAACTTGTCGTGTTACTTTTTTCGACGCGCCTTTGAAACTCGGGTGGCTGGCATCGCGTCTGAGGTTGGCGTTCAGGCATCACGCTAGCCGCTTGCGGCTGACATCGAACGCGCCTGACCATCTTATCACAGTCTACACCATCACTCCAGAAGAAAGTATAGATTACCAAGCCAGCCATCAATTTTTCGAAGTCGCATAACTATTTGGCCATACTCTGGAAGATCGGTCCCATATTCTCCTGCCAGGTATCCACAATCTTATTCGCAGGACCCGCAGCGATCATCTCATCTCCCTTCTTCCACTTCCCTATCGTCTCCTCCGTAAACTCGTCTACACTCAACGCAGCTTCGTTCTTCTCCTTCTTGTTATCATCTGGATCCTTCCTTTCACGATGCAAATCCGTCGCTACTGTCGGCGGCGCAATCTCAATGACCTTGACTTTGGTATCCTTTAACTGAGCGCGTAGATTCATTGACCAGAAGTGCAGCCATGCTTTGGTACCGCAGTATACGGGATTGACGAGGGAGAACGGAACGAAGCCGAGGACGGAGGATACGTTGACGATGAGTGCCATTGGCTTGGATTTGAAGTGTGAGAGCAGGTGCAATGTAAGGTGCATGGGCCCACGTTGGTTGATGTCGATCTCTTGATCGGCCTTGCTTCCAAATTCTTCTGGATCCATTTCGTTGACATCGAGCGGTCGCTGTACTCCCGCATTGTTGACGAGGCAGTCGAGGTCCGGATGTTCGGTAATCAGCTTCTTGATGAATGCTGGGATGGATTTGACATCTCCAGTGTCAAGCACGTAGTAAGCTGCTGCGCCGATTTCTTTCGCGGCTTCTTGGAGTTTTGACTCTGTGCGGCCGGCAATGATGACTTTCTTCCCGTCTTTTATGAATTGTTGCGCAAGGGCCTTTCCGATGCCGCCACCTCCGCCGGTCACGAGGGCGGTCTTGAAGTCGTAGTTTGTGGACATGTTGATTTGAATCCGAGGTTTCTCAAAGACGAATGAAACTTACAAGTGTAGGATGGTACAGCTCTTACAAATTGACTGGCTCAAGGCCATAGCGCCGGTGACGTACACCTACGTCGCCGTCGCTGATGATGTATGTACGTCATGACCCCATTTCAATACTAGAATTTGCTCCAGGGCGCAGCTTGTCGGCGACTACGCCGGTGCGACAGAATACTTCTAAAAGTCGAGGTTTGATCAGGGCAAACTCAACCGTGCCACCTGGGCACAGCGATTTACTCAAGGTAGCTAACTAATCGTGTGTATAATCCAACCACTGTCAACGTTTTCGTTTACCAAGCATGACCAAGGACCCACACTCCTTGCGCTGTGGACGCACGATGGAAGGAGCGCAGCCGCACCCGGGACGGCTGCATCCACACCCACATCTTCAACTCCTCTTCAACCTCACCCACCTGACAAACGTCTGACAAACCCAAAACGTTTTTGCGCTTACCTTCAGGCCCACACCGAGATGCGCGAATCACACACTCAGGAAGCCGTTCCATGCGTCATACGGTCCAAATCGGCTTGGCGTGATGTGGGGTAGCCACGCACCAGATCGCGTCGACAACGCCGGGATGTGGGCTGTGCGACACGCCGAACAGCATTGCCGTAGTGTGAGATTGCTAGGGTGCGCGGGACGGAGCGTTTGCAAGGCCGTCTTATATTAGATGGAAGCCACATTCGTGCTGTGTACAGCCAATCTTGCGTCGAAAGCAACCTTTGAGCTAGGTATATACACGCGAACAACCAACTCTTAGCGACAACGGCAAAGAGACTACAAGATGACGGTTCCAGAGACCCCAGAGTCGAAGTGCGATGTGTTAGTCTGTCGATATCGAGCAATGCGAACATGAAGCTAATGAGTCCAAAGTCTTATTGTTGGTGCTGGACCAGCAGGGTAATGTTCACCACAACAATGGGCATTGTTCGAAACTGACCGAGTCTTAGGCTGATGCTCTCGGCTTGGATGGCAAGATGTGGCATCAATGCTCGCGTTGTCGATAAGCGTGGCACAAAGATCTACTCGGGACAGGCGGATGGTTTACAGCTTCGCAGCCTGGAGATCTTTGATAGCTTTGGTTTCGCTGATCGAGCTTGGAAGGAAGCAAATCACTTGATAGAGGTATGCACATCAATCGATTGTCGTTTGAGTAAACCTTGCTAACCAATCATCAGTTTTGCATGTGGGTATGTTGTCACACTCGATAAACCCACCACCATCCCTAACATTCGTAGAATCCCGGCGAAGATGGTGTGATACGCCGTTCAGACGGAGTTCCAGATACACCAGCAGGTCTCTCACGATTCAAGGAGATCGTTCTCCACCAGGGACGGATTGAGAGGTTCTTCCTCGATCACATCAAGAAGCACTCCAAGGATACGCTACGCGTCGAGCGCGCAGTGCTACCGGAGTCACTACATATCGCCGAGGATCGAGTTGATGACCACTCGCCCGACAACTATCCTGTTACAGTCCAGCTCCGATATCTCACGGAAGACGAGGCCAAACCAGCGCAAAGCAAAGGGTCTGGAGTCAATGATGGTCTGTTCAGGAGCAATCTGGCAGAAGACGACACTGAAGACCTCATTGCCAACAGCCAGCAGAAGCAAGGTAGTACTGAGACTGTAAAGGCAAAGTACGTCGTAGGCTGCGACGGCGCTCACAGCTGGACGCGAAAGCAACTAGGATTCGAGCTTGAAGGCGAGCCCACCGATCACATCTGGGGCGTCTTGGACATTATCCCCATCACAGACTTTCCGGATGTTCGCAAACGCTGCGCTATCCACAGCGCGTCTTCCGGGTCAATGATGATCATCCCACGAGAGAACAAAATCGCCCGCCTCTACATCCAGCTCACAGAGATCAAGCCCGACGCCAGCGGCCGAGCAGACAGGTCGAAGATTACCCCTGAAACCATTATCACAGCGGCACAAAAGATCATGGCGCCGTACAAACTGACGTACGAATACTGTGACTGGTGGACGGCATATCAGATCGGCCAGCGAGTCGGCAAAAACTTCGATCACAAGAGCCGTGTCTTCCTCGCTGGTGACGCTGTGCATACGCACTCACCGAAAGCTGGTCAGGGTATGAATGTCTCGATGCAGGATGGGTACAACCTAGGCTGGAAGTTAGGTCTGGTCGTGAAGGGCATCGCGCATCCCTCTATCCTAAAGACATATCAGTCAGAGCGAAGACGTATCGCGCAAGACCTCATCGCGTTCGACCACAAGTTCTCCCGGCTGTTTTCCGGTCGACCAGCCAAGGACGTCATGGACGAAGAAGGCGTCAGTATGGATGAGTTTAAGAACGCTTTCCTCAAGGGTACGTCACGTCAAACCCAGTGCCATCTACTAAGCCCATCAACTAACCCATCCTAGGCCAACTCTTCGCAACCGGCCTCTCAGTCGACTACGGCACCAGCATGCTAATCGGCAAACCGGGCTCCGCCGCCGACCAAGGCGACGGCACAGATGTCTCCTCCTCGTCCCCCGTCATCGGCAAGCAAGAGCTGTCCTCAGAGATCAAACTCGGCATGCGTTTCCCCAGTCACCAAGTCATCAACCAAGCCGACGGCCGCGCGTGGGAGTTCCAGCAGAAGCTCAAATCCGACGGTCGTTTCCGCATCATCGTCTTCGCTGGTAACGTTGCAAACGCTCCGCAGAGCGCCCGTTTGAAGACCTTCTGCCAGGCCCTCGAGTCGTCATCGGTATTAGCACCGCATCTCGGTAAGAATATCGAGGTGCTTACTTTACACTCGTCCAAGTGGAAGGAGGTGGAGCTGCTGCGCGATCTCCCGGATATCCTACATCCGTTCGATGCGAAGACAGGTTGGGATTACGACTCCGTGTATGCGGATGACGCGAATCCGTTTGAGGGCTTTGGCGATGCGTATAAGGGGTATGGTGTTGATAGGGAGAGGGGGTGTGTTATTGTTGCGCGGCCGGATCAGTATGTTGGGTATATTGACGAGGTTGATGGGGAGGGGTGTAAGGGCGTTGAGGGGTACTTCAAGGGGATATTCAAGCTGTAGTCGGCTAGTCGGGCGATGCGCAATCGCGAAAGAAATTACCTTGCACGTGCTTGCTCCAAGACATCATGAGGCATAAGGAATGTGCTCACTTCGAAAGCTGGCCTTCCAGCTCAGCTATTCACTTGATGATCGCATCAATAAATCTGAACCAAGAGGGCACACAGACATGAAAGACTCGCATTAAACTTCAGTACTGGATGTTAATCAAGAATCAAAAGCCACCTCGCCTGAACTTTTGATGTCTGCATGTATCAAGTGATGAACCCTTTTCTTCCTTCCGCAAAACCATAGTTGTAGAGTGATAGTCGATTGTAAGACGCAGTCGTTGATCAAATCGCTGGAGCAGTCTTCAGTCTCTCAGGGTTGGAGACTAGGATGCTGGTTAGCACTCCTCGCAACAGTGGGAAGCAGTGACGTACCTTCTTCTGCTTACTTGTAGGCCGGATGTGTCTTCTTGTAGCAAGGCTTGTTGAGAGCGACATGCGCATGATACTTGCAACCGATGTCTCTGAAGAACTCCTTGTTATCTTCAGCCGCGACGTTTCTGTGCCTCATATTTGACCCCATATACTTTGCGAGATCTAAGACGAACTTAGGAGGGAATTTGTCGTCTTCCATGTTTTCGAAATCGTCATCATACCAAAAGTGAGCGACGCCATCAACGGCAAACTGTCGATGCGCTGGAATTGTATCACAGATCTCATATACCGCGAGAGGTACATGAAGCATGATCATATCTTCGGATACCATCTTCTCTAGAATCCAATCGATACAGGCGTCCTGGAAACCACAGTCCCGTATGGCGTGGCCAAGCGTGTAGCACTCATTCCACTTACCACACTCGTCGTCCTTGATGTTACGAGAATCATCCTTAATGAGAGAATTGACAAGGTCATCTTCCTCGGTGATGTAGAAGTAGCCGGTTTCAAGCCAACCAAGGTAAATTTCAAAAGCTCGGGGTTCAACGTCTGGCAGTTTCACTTCTTTTGGACCATTGATCTTGAGCGACGTTCCCAAGGTCTTCTTGAAGAACTCGGAGCTAGTCAGAAGAGTACTCTTATCGATGGTGAATACATCTTCCTCGTGTCCGACGAGGACTGTGATCGTCTTGTGTAGGCGGCTATAATTGATCAGTCAAGTATCTCGATGCTAAACTAGCTCATACTAACCCGGGCCTGTCGGCCATGGCCCGCCTCAACTTCTTCGGATCAGGGAGCTTTTCTGACTGGTCGCTTCCTCGCTTTCGGGAGTTCGTGTTGCTTGTCATCGTGAGCTTTGATGACGAACGATTCAGCGTCGAGAGTGAGTTGTGGTGGAAGTTAGTGTCTAAAGGTATCTAGGTAGAGGGAGCGTCTTATATGATGGCAGACTAGCTCCAAATCAACAGGTAAAGGCAGCGAAGATACGATTAGGTAAAGGTGCTTGCTATCGCAACTTCGTTTGAGGTATATAGTGAGCGTTTATCACAGTGGTATGGATGTATAGCAGTCAGCATATGAGAAAGGCAAAGATTCAGCAGAGCTGTTTTGAACTATACTAATCGTACTGGCTGACAGCTACATGGGCGTAAAGGCCAGTACATGACAGGCCTTGACCTCAATGTATGCGGCAAAAGGAACTCGATCCACCCAAACCACAGGCGTTGACGCGGTTCAATCGCAACTTCCTGTCGTCTCACGATCGCCGAACACTGCGTCTTACGGTGCAACTGTCGATACGAGTTAGCATAACGGAAGTAGATAAGTGGAAGGAAGCTCATAGACTCTGGATGTCATCGTCTAGCACCAGAGAGGTATACTGTAGCCTGAAGGTATCCAACGCATTTTACGCCGACAAAGGTCAACGAAAACCATTGCGTATACCTCCAGGCTTCAGCTTCCTTCGCTGTAACTTGGGGGATTGAGCTCCGTAAATTTGACTTACCATCAGTGGAGCTCGCGCAGACCATGAATGGAGGCACTCAGAAGCGGAAGGCAGGCTTGGTCCTGTAGCAAGGCTTATCTCCGTGGTCGTGGTATTTGCATTCCTCGCCAATCTTGAACCACGCTTCCGCAGTCTTAGTCTTGATGCCCAGGTGAAGGTTCGGCCCAATAGCCTTCAAGGCATCTTCCAGAAACTGCGGTGGATGTCCCTTGTGGACGTTGAACCCCTCCCGGCCCCAAAGATTGACGAAGATGTCGACTGCAAATGCCCGATGAGTTGAGGAACTTATCGAGTACGGGTAGATATAGCTGGCAAGCGATGCTGGATACACTGGCACAACCGAGATGAAGTCGATCATGGCGTCGATCAGAGCGTCCTTGAAGTCGTTATCTCGAATATAGTCTCCAAGAGCGTAGAGATCCCTCCATGTTGCGAATTCGGCGCGATCTGTCAGCTTTGGCCTGGGTTTGCCATCCATATCCTCTTCTGCCATGTAGATTCTGCCGGTATAGAGGAATTTGAGCCACAGACCGAAGATAGCTGGCTTATAGTGCGGAATATGAACGGCAGCCTCTTGCCCCTCTTTCCACTCTGTCTTGAGCGCGGAGTCAAATAAGCCCGAACTTGCGCGAAGTAGCGTTTCGTGAATGTAAAATTCCTGCTTCCCGTGCATGTCACTGCCGACACGCACAACGATGGGTTTCGATTGAAGACTACCATAGTTAGTAGATAGCATCGAGTATTCAATGGCTCTGAGTACCTAGGCCCATCATCGACCGAGCAGCGCACTCTCTTTCGAGGCGGCTCCGTTGTCGCGGATTTGCCGACCATGGTGTTCTTGTCTGAAGTGGGTGTTTTGCTAGCGAGATGGTGGAGGGGGAGCGTTTGCGACTGAGATATCAAATTCGCGTCGCTAACCAGCGGGGGCTCGCTAAGCACGGGCTGATGAGAGGTGAAAGGGAGATTTTAGTCAAGCGGTGAGTTACCGAATCGGTCAAAGTGAGCGTGAGACCGAGCAATGGAGGCGGCACGTCAGAGTGTACCCTGATGAATACATTGTCGCGTATCTAGCAGAACTTCCAGGTTACGAGTCCATGTATACGTCAAAGGGATCTTTTGGCCTGACATATAACCAAGAGATGATCTGGCCGACCAGCATTGCACACGTGCTAAGAGGCAGAGTTCAGCCTTCCTACTCTACAACACCCTCCACCACCATGATCATGATTAGGTATTTAAACACCACTCCCACTCCCAATACCTGTCCCTCCCCATCCTGAGGTTTCCCTTCCCACCACCACCATGACACTTCCTAACCCCATATCCCTTCAAACTGTCTCCATCCCCATACTTCCGCCTATCAAAGCCCTTCTAACACTCCCAGGATATGCCTGACAAACTAACCCGGATTTCCTACCCCCTCTTCACTTCTCTCTACCTATTCGACACTTCAACGAACACATCCACGGCCAGCACACTATGCTTCTACTGTCAATGTGGAAAAGAATGAACATCTTCAGCGAGCTGGAGTGGGTATATCTCGCGGTCGAGACAAGTTTCGATTAGGACGTCGATGAGGACGTCGGCGGAGGAGTGGAAGGCGAGGAAGCAGCATAAGGCGTGGCAGCGGGACCAGCCTTATGATTAGATTCTATGCCGCCGCAATCCGAATACGTGATATCAGTTAGTGTGGTAGTGAAGATTGAACCCATATGCAGCCATTTGATCTAGTTGACGAACATTTCCGCCCATCTTTTCACGAGTGTGACGTTGGCGAAGTCGTCACAGCGGGTTTCTTCGTTTCGGGGTTTCCAGAGCGGCGGAGAAGAAGGACGAGATGTGGCGTAATAAAGCTTTGTAGGCGAAGGAAGTCCGAATAGTTGTGTTGACGATATTTTCGATTGGTGGTTGTTGTGCTGTTGAAGTATGCCAGTTAGAAAGGCCATCGATGATAAAGGGCCCTATCTAATCCTTCGTCTGTAAAGTAACATTAATGTAAGCAAGGTAGATCTCGAGACGACAGAGTTGTAGTCCCACAATTCACCCCTTATCATGTATGACTTTTGGCTGTAAAAAGACATTTGGCCCCTCGATGCTTACTGTGGCTGCAGGATACCCGCCGAGGTGTCAGAGTATAAGGACCCAACAACGTCGCCCCAGCGAGACCGCAGAACCGCCTCCTTCAACCTCTTTTTCGAGATTTACAAGGTTATTGTCTTCGCGACCTGTTGAAAATGGCATCGCTTCCGTATTCTGGTTTGGAGGTCGCTTCCACTTCAGATCCGGAATTCGCTGGTAGTACTGACCAGGATACGCACAAGTACCCGCGATACGCTGGGGCCTTTACAGACACAGACAAGATCCCATATCAAAACATCACATCTGTGCATGAGGAGCCGACCGCACGAACGATATGTGGCCTGCGGAAGAAAACGTTCTGGATCGGTGTGGTTGCCGCCATCATCGTTGTTGGCAGTGCCGCGGGCGGTGGAGTGGGCGGATCGCTTGCGACAATCAAATCCAGCTCTACCAGCTCTATCAGCAGTACCAAGACACCCGAGACCAGCACACTGAAATCGACTTCAACAACAACACCACCACCACCACCACCACCACCACCCACATCAACAACTCAGACCGTCAGCACGACCACCATCCTCGGCCCAGCATACAGCCCCCAACCCACACTCCTCCGCGACTGCCCCTCCGCGAACAACACCGTCCGCACCGTAACCTACGGCAGCGCATCCTACAGCTTCCGCAAACTCTGCAACGGGAGCTACCTCAACATCCGCGGTGTGACTGCTCACGTACAAGGCATAGTGAAGAGTCTCGACGAATGCATCGACAGATGCGTGCAGCATAACCAGGACAACCGCGCCGATATCCAGGCCGGTAAAGACCCTCTTTGCAATACCGTGTGTTGGCGCAACACTTTCGATGCGAGTAATGACTGGGAAGGGGGCCATTGTTTTGGGTTTACGACGAGGAATGTTACGGTGGAGGGGCAGTCGGTTTTTAATGCTGCGGAGGGCGATGCGAGATGCGATAGTGCGGCTTTGATTAACCAGGAGTTTTAGGGGGTGTTTGTTGGGAAGGGGGAGGGGAGATGGTGCTGGTTGAGCGTTGTGGAGGCTGGCTAAGGAGTACCTTGAATGATGAACGCGGTATACTGTTTATTCTGGCAGTCCTAACGTAAACGCAACTCCATGCCATAAAAACCCCGCGACAATAAATCCGAAAAGAACATATTGGACCATTCCAGCGCCGGAGCAAACCGGATAATTGGACCATCGAACTCGCACGGACAGAGGCGAAACTGCACGACGTGGTCATCGAAAAGGCCGAAAGCATACGCTAGGTTGATGGAATAGTGAGAAGACAAGAGTAGATTTACCAGCTAGACAAACAAGAAAGATAAACCGGGTATACGCGCCGACATTACATACATCGCTTGTTCATGAACGCCGTTGTTGCGCCGCTTGTAATGACCGCTTCGCGTGTCGGGGGAGAGGAACCAAAAGGGAAGACCGTGTAACCAGACCAGAACCAAGGTATATACAAGAAGCGAAGAAGCGAGAAGGTGCCGGGACGACAAGAAAACCGACTGTAGGTGTGATATGATCTCCTTAGATCCCACCCATATCCACCTCTTTGCTCAAAAAGTCCGCCTCTTCGAAATCACTTCCACTACCTGCGCCGACTCTTCCTTCCATGTGCGCCGCGTTCTCAAAATCCATATCAATATCATCGTCACTAATCGTCCGTTGCACTGTCCGTCTCGACTTGGGCAGCGCGACGCGACGCGGTGGCGGCTGCATATTGAGTCCCTGAGGTGGCGTTTCACTCAGCGGGCTAACGGGCACTTCGTCGATTTCGACGCCCATGCCCATTCCCCTTGTCGACGATGATGAGCCGAAGAAGAATGTCGTGTCTAATGTCCTGACTTCATCTTCGTCCTGCCATGAGCGTTTCGAGGGGTTGTGTGGGCGCTGCGAGGTCGTTGAGTATCCGCTATCTGTGGAGGCTTTGGAGGAGAAGGGCTGAGTGAAGGTCTCGGCGGGGAGGGGGAAGTAGTTTGGAGGTGGTGGCGTGCCGTTCGCGGCGTAGAGATGTGGGTTGGTTGTTGGTTGTTCTGCGAAGCCGCCGATTTTGTTCAGGCCGCAGAAAGGCAGGAGTTCGCGCTGGTGCAGGACTTCTTCTGATACAGGCTCTCGGGGTGGTTTGACGGCTAGGGTGGGCCGCGACATGGTGGTTTGGATGGATGGGAGGCCGGATGTCTTGTGGATCTTGTAGCCTTCCGGCACGCTCTTTCGCACTCTCATGCCGACGCTGAGGAGGTCTGCTTGCACTTGGCCGGGGACGTCAGGAGCGAGTTTCTCTCTGTGCTGGTGCTGGTGTTGCCTCGTGTTTTGGTATCGCGGTCGGGTAATCGGATCCAGGCCCCGCAGATCGTCGGTATCCTCGAAATCGTCCCGCACCTCGAAATAGCTTGTGATGCTGGGTTGGAACTTTCTCTTGCTGCGGTGTTCGTCGGTCGGCGTATGGCGAGCTTGCATAGCGGAGTGCAATTGTGCGGATGTGTGTGTGAAGGGGGAAGGAGCGGTCGGAAGGCGCGGTCAGGCAGGATTATGCGGTGTCGCTGAGGTGGAGAGGGGATCTTTCTGATGCCGCTTCGATGCACGCTCGAGCCCTTGGGGGCTGAAGATGGACAGGGTTCCGGGATGACAGGACGGGTGATCAATTTAGCTGCTTAACGAGGAACGGCGGGTAGATTTCGCTTTCGGAGTCACGCTCCGGTCGGAGTGCAAGAGGGAGAGAAAGAAGCAAATGCGACAACCCAAGTTCGCTCGAGGGCCTGGCTGGATGACGGCAGTTGATGTAAGAGGTGAGGAGTCGCGCGCTGATCAGCGGTCGTGACGCGACTGGACGGCCGAGCTGGAACCGCGAACCAAACGATGATCGTTGACCGGCTTATTCACGCCTTCCCCACTGCGGTTCGCTCCCTATCTAACCTGTCAATTGTCGGAGATGCGAGGTCGTCTCAACGCTGCCCTGAAACCGCTACGTGCAATGTCTCATGAACAAAGTCTGGATGGTACAAAGACAATTGCTTGTCGCGCGCGCTGCCGTGCCGTTGCTCTGCGCGACAACTCCTCCGAGGCTGCTTGCTGGCCCGTCCAACTTTCCAGACGATCCATGTCCAGCAAACGCACGCTTTTCACCCAGAAACACAAAAGCGCCATGCAGCGGTTCAGCATGATTGCTTCCCTTGTTCCCGCTCACGCACGCTTACGCATCCTGTGCTCAGCTCCAGGGTGATCGTCCATTGGACTTGTCGATCTGATCTGGGCCCAGTCCCCCGCAATATCGCTGCACAATGCTTCATTCCAATGCGAAGTGTAAAGAAGATGCGATTGAACGCAAAAGAGGCTTTCATTTGCCTAATAGTACATTGAAAGGAAGACCCTTGTTCAAAGTCACAAACCAACGACCTATGACGCCAATACACCGGTACGCCTTCCCCCTTTGGACACGCTTGCTGACAGAGGTCCATGACCCAAATGCATCAAATCTCTCGACTTAATACGCGCCTCCAAGCGCGTACGTGTCTCGTTATCATCTCTTCTCGAATTAACATCGCCTTTAGGGTGTGCCTAGTTGTTCACGGGAATGTTGCCCATCTCAACTTCCTTCCTCTGCTGCCTCGCTGCCCACTTGTCTGCCATCCAGGTAATCATTGTGACAGCCATGCTTGCGCCCACAAGTAGGAACACGATGAGGGTTCCGTATAGCGCAAACTTGCTTGCCCCACAAAGGGTCTTGAAGTCGCTGTTGCCCATGCCAGCAGGCATGGCAATGTCAGCAGGCAGATCCTGATCAAGCGGTTGAGAGCTCTGCATCTTGCAGGTCCAGGTCTGGATGGTATCGACTTCTGGCGCGTTGTTGTTGAGCATGTGGGCCCAGATGGTGGTGATCAGGGTGAGGAGAAGAGTAGGAAGGAGGGTAGCGAGGGACAGAAGGGCACGCAGGGTGTATTTCTGACGAAGTGCAAGCTGATTAGTGTTAGGAGGCTGTTCTTTTGCATGAGAATGTCTGGACAGATGCTCACCTGAGGCAGAAACGATGCGATCAAGAACGCGCCACAGAGAACCAAAGTCACGACAGACGACGCAATGAGCGCCTTGGTTCCCTGCACGTCAAAGTGCTGAGGCCACATCGGTGCCCACCACGGGTTTGTGAGGTGTTGCCTGTTGAAGACATCGAGGGTGTGTGCCGAAGTGCCAAGAATGCAGATACTGAAGACGACAACAAGGCCGGTGATGATGGCCTGAGCCAAGTGGAAAGGAGCGGGGTTGATCTTCATCTTGATGATAGTCGTTGGTCTCGAAGTTGCTTTTTATATTGCGAAAACGCGGAGCGTAGGTATGGTATAATGATCGGATCGATTACTAGGCGTCAACCAGTGCGCACCTTTCTTTCTCGGAATGAAGGACGAATGAACGAGAGAATGAAATAACAAGCAAGCACAGAAAGAGGCCTGATATAAACTAAGGCTCCGAGTCGATCTTCTTTGCCTGGGATGGGGATAGAAAACAACTCTGGGGGTGGCACATGCCTTTAAAACGATCTCGGTCGCAATGGGGGTTTCACGCCTACAGAACACATCGTGCAACCCCCTGCAGCCCATCTGGCGTTCGCGTACAGGAATAGACGAACAAGAGCAAAGAAAGAACGGCAATCTGTCTTGCCGCTGCGACCATCAGTCGGACCTGGACTAGCAGCGCCAGTGTGCTGGGCTGGTGGTGGGAGTATTGTTGTTCGCAGCGCGTAAGCTGCACACCAGGCCTAGAATAGCGATATTAACCTGCATGGGGTCTTGCCGTATTACCGCATGTGTGCATTTAGCAGCACATGCCGTTCCCTGTGGTTCAATCAGGGTGCCGATCGTACCGTGCGTCAAAGCCTGTGGCTTGTCTGTGGTTCCGCTGGTAGCGAGGTAGGGCAGAGTCAGGGCATGAGCGGTTGTAGTGCGCTGTCAGCCGTCGAATGAGGATACAGAAGGATGCGAATGCAGGGTCACCAGAGTGTGAAACGCGAATGGAGCGTGGGCGCTTCCAGAGTTGAGGTGCAGATGCTAATTCGTGAGATGTATGGGCGCTTACAGCCTGGGGTGCTTCTGCGCGATGATTGGCTGTGAGCGCATGACGCGAGGAGTGAGACTTTGGAAGCAACGACCAACGAAAATAGCAGATCCTCCTGATAGTAAGCTCAGTCGATTCTCTTAGGGTGGCTGATGGCATTTCATGAATCGTCCAAACTGCTCTGCACGTGGGATATCGTTGGGAAGGTGAATGCTGTATTGTGCATTCTGCCAGCCTTAGCAAAAGAGTTCTTCCAATATATGGCATAGTATATTAACCGGCCATTCGAAACATCTACACACGCTCGCTAACTAAGATGGTAATACCCATTCTACCAAGTTGTCGGAGCGCCGCGAAACGCCATGAGCGGAGAATCGGCTCGGATGCGCTATCAAAGTTGACCTGTGAGGCCTCCAAAGCCCCACTTCCGCCGCCCTGAGCTTTGCGACTCTTTCGCCTTGCCCTTCTTCGCAGCCTCTAGAGAATGCGTCTTCTCCCAATCTTCGTCGGCCTTGTACGCAGTGATCGCCTGTTCGAGGTTGTAGCTGGCTTGTTCGAGGTAGAGGAGTGCAACGTCGTATCTATTGCGGAAGTCAGTTATCCATATGTCCACTATATGGTTGAAGGCGATGCCCTTACTCTGCAACCTTGCATTTGACCATAAACTTCCGTAGCTTTGTCTTTTTGATCTCTTCCTCTTCGCCCTCTAATGGCCTCGGGCTTAGACTAACCCCACCTTTGTAGAACTCTCCCGGTATGAGTACCGTCCTGCGCGCCGCTAGTAGATGATCCGCGTACAAGTTGTTCGTTCGGCGTAAGGCGTCGGCGGGTACACCATATCGGAGCGATAGCGATAAGATCGAGTCGTTGTTCTGGTCAACAAAGTGTAGAACATCAGGCGCGTCTTCGGCGTCTGTCCTCGACTTCTCAGATGGTGGTTGCAGTGCGTTGCCTACTGAATATGGTGGTAGTTCGTCGTCGACTTGCTCGCCCGGTGGCGAATACGTAGGTGGGTCGCGGAGACCTTGCGGTGGTAGTGCTGAGGGCCCTGTCGCTATCTGGCAGTATGGACAGTAGTTTTGAAATCTAGGATTATCCGTCAAGCATCTGGCGCATATGGCACGCCCGCAGCAGTCGAGTCTGCGCTCGAACTGCGACGGCTTCTCGGTCTTCTCATCGTACGTTGGGGGAATAGAGGATAGGAGCGCAGCGCAGGTACAGCATGCTTCAGACATGATGAAACAGAAGGGTGAACTAGAGTGTATGAGGGAACTTCCGGATGTCTACACGTGAGGTTCGTAAGACATAATGGGAGGCAAAGTGACTGCCGCTACGTCATGACTAAGACAGTTGGCGATCGCGAGGGCACGTGAAGGCGCGATAGCATCGCATATATGTGAAGTTCAAACCATAAGCCCTGCGATATGTTGTCCCGTGCTCGGCAGACATGTCCTCTCTCTGTATCGTGAATGCGACGTGTGGCAGGACGGCCAGGTGTTGGAGTTTGGTGCTGGGTGCACTGAGCCTGCAAGGGTCCCGTCGTTGCTGCCAAGCCCAGCCCCGTTAGCGAGGACACGGTCCACCACACCAATTTGCGCCTTCCAAACTCGAACTTTTCTCGCAACATCGACCTTCCCTACCGCCCACCGCACCCTCACGAGGTATGTCTTGGACCCGAGTGCCCTTCAGAGCCCGGGGATGCAATCGCCGTCGTCCGCAAGGATGAGTGCGACACTGCTTCTCCTCTTCGACACGAGCTGAAGAACCCTCCTGCAAGGGCACTCTCCATGCTCTGGCATCTGGAGGCTAACCACGCACGCGCAGATACCTCAGTCGCCTCCGCCACAGAGAATCTCCCGTTAAACCGTCAATATGGTCAAGACTTCCGTCCTCAACGATGCGCTCAACGCCATCAACAACGTAAGCTAGAGCACTGGAGATGGAGATGGACACGCGCTAACAACTGGACAGGCTGAGAAGGCTGGCAAGCGCCAGGTCCTGATCCGTCCTTCCTCCAAGGTCATCGTCAAGTTCCTCACTGTCATGCAGCGTCACGGTACGTCAACGCTTTGCAGTCACATCACGCGTCATGTCCCCAAAGACGTGTACTCCTCCGCTAGCAACCCCCATCACCTCTTCCGGCTGATAACTACTCACTGATCTCGACTCCCCACGATCAATGAGCTTTAAGTGTCGGATAAATTAACTGCGGAGGACTTACACGTCTTCGGAACCCTTTCATGACGTCTGATGTTTATTTCGCCGCAACAAACACTAATTCTCTTCTTCAGGTTACATTGGCGAGTTCGAGGAGGTCGACGACCACCGCAACGGCAAGATCGTCATCCAGCTCAACGGCCGTATCAACAAGACCGGTGTCATCTCTCCCCGCTACAACGTCCAGCTCCGCGACATGGAGAAGTGGGTCGTCAAGCTACTTCCCTCCCGTCAATTCGGTTACATCGTCCTGACCACCTCCGCTGGTATCATGGACCACGAGGAGGCCCGCAGGAAGCACGTTGCTGGCAAGATTCTCGGTTTCTTCTACTAGAGGCTGTCTCGATATGTGGTGGTGTGGGATTCAATATACCCTGGCTTGGGCAAGCTTATGTTTGGCCAAGTAAGCCCATCATGGGAACGTTAGACGAAGAAATGACAAAAGTTCATGACTGGGAAATTTGCATGCCCGTTGTGATGCTCGTGAACGTGAGATATGATAATGGTGAATGTCGATTAACACCTGAACATGACGAAGCCATGATTAGGGTATCTTGCCAAACACAAAGACAGCTTGTACAGCGCGATGGTCATCTCTCAAAACATCGAGATGTTGCCACCACAATCCAATGAAGGACCACAAATGCATGATGAAGGTGAAGAAGGTATTTAAAATTTGGTTCTCATTAACTATGTACAAGACACGGTCATCAAGCATGCTACCCAGTAAAACGCCAACCCGCGCCTTTACTTTTCGTCAACAATCATCAAACCATGAATCATAATCCCATCATGATGCCTCTACCAAGGCACTCTTCCCAAACCATTCAATCCCTAAACGCCTAATGCTGAAATGCCTCTAACTGAACCTCCAGCTACTATACTCATCTAGTCGTAAAGATCCATATCCTCCTCCGCATCCAACTCAGCAACAGCATCAGACTCATCGTACATCTCCGAATCATCCTCACTGTCCGTGTGGTTAGGCAACACCATGATATGCCCATCATCAAGCACGACCCTCGCGGTCTCACCCTCCTTGATAGAACCACGGAGGATAAGCACCGCAAGCCTATTGAGCACCTCCTTCTCGATGAGACGAGCAAGCGGCCTAGCACCGTACGCAGGCGAGTAACCCGCCGAACCAAGGTAATCCCGTACCTCAGGCGTCATCTCGATGCGCACATTACGTCCGTTCTGGTTGAGGCGTTTCTGGATCTCGCCGAGGCGCACGTCAACGATCTTGCGGATCTCGCGCTTGGTGAGGCGGTTGAAGATGACGATGGAGGAGATGCGGTTGAGGAACTCGGGGAGGAACCAGTTGCGCAGGGCGCCCATGACCATTTCTTTGGTGGTGGGGTCGATCTTGCCGTCGGGTGCGTTGGGGCGGGATAGGTGCTCAGCTCCTAGGTTGGAGGTCATGACGACGATGCAGTTCTTTGCGTCGACGACGCGGCCTTGGCCGTCGGTGATGCGGCCGTCGTCCATGAGTTGGAGGAGTACCGTTAGGACTTCCTTGGCGGCCTTTTCGACTTCGTCGAAGAGGAGGATGGAGAAGGGTTTGCGGCGCAGGGCTTCGGTGAGTTGACCTCCTGCGTCGTGGCCTACGTAGCCGGGTGGTGCTCCGATCATTCGGCTGAGGGAATGACGCTCTTGGTACTCCGACATGTCGAAGCGGATCATGGCCTTTGCGTCGTCGAATAGGAACTCCGCGAGGGCCTTTGTAAGGAGTGTCTTACCGGTACCGGAAGGACCACAGAACAAGAAGCTGGGTGGCTGGTTGGGGTTGGCTAGACCAGAGCGCTGAAGTCGGATGGCGTTGGAGACGGAGACGACGGCCTCCCTCTGACCAACGACGACTTCTTGGAGATGACGCTCCATGTTGAGCAGCTTGTCCTTCTCTGTAGTCTTGAGTCGAGTGACTGGGATACCGGTCCAGCGAGCGACAATTTCGTTGATCTGGTCCGGACCAACAGAGTCGCTCATGAGAGCCTCACCACCACCACTAGCTTGGTGAGACCACATCTCTGCATCCGCGCGGGCCTTGTCTCGCTCCAGCTCGCTGATGCGCTGCTCGACATCTGGAATGGCGTAGTACTTGAGATCGGAAGCAGTCTGGATGTCGCGCATACGCTCGGCTTCAGCAAGCTTCGTCTTTAGGCCTTCGAGCTTGAGCTTCTGCTCCTGGATGTCCTTGCTGCGACCCTTCTCGCGCTCGTACATCTCACGAAGCGGCTTCAGCTCTTCTTCGATGTTGGCGGCCTCTGCGCGCGCCTCCTTCAGACGGACTTGCGACGCTTCGTCCTTCTCTCGGGAAAGCGCGTGAATCTCGATCTGTAGTTGTCGGTGGCGTCGCTCGAGGTTATCAAGCGCTTCGGGTTGTGACTCTCGGGTGACACGGACGGCTGCCGCAGCCTCATCGATAAGGTCAACGGCAGAATCGGGTAGTCGACGCTGGGTGAGGTAGCGGGCAGCAAGGGTGGCAGATGCGACAATGGCACCGTCCATGATGGTGACTCCGTGATGGGTCTCGTAGCGCTCCTTCAGACCACGAAGAATGGAAATGGTCTCGGGAATGGACGGCTCCTTGACGAGAACCTGTTGGAAACGACGCTCGAATGCAGCATCCTTTTCGATGTACTTTCGGTACTCGCCTAGGGTTGTCGCGCCAATGCAGTGAAGCTGTCCACGGGCCAGCATGGGCTTCAGCAAGTTCGCAGCGTCCATGCCTCCCTCTCCGGATGAACCAGCGCCCATGAGGAGATGGATTTCGTCGACGAACAGTACTATCATTTCCTTCGACTCCTCAATCTCCTTCAGGACACCCTTCATGCGGTCTTCAAACTCTCCGCGATACTTGCTGCCAGCAACCAAAGCACCAACATCGAGAGAGAGCAGCTTGCAGGCTGCGAGGTTGGCCGGCACATCCGCATCGACAATGCGGCGGGCAAGACCCTCGACGACTGTAGTCTTACCAACACCAGGTTCTCCAATGAGGACTGGGTTGTTCTTGGTTCGCCGAGTCAAGATGCGGATGACTCTGCGTGTCTCGTCTTCTCGACCAATGACTGGGTCGATCTTGCCCTCTCGCGCCATTGCCGTCATGTCGATGGTGAACTTCTTCAAGTTCTCGTTCTCCTGCTCCGCGTCTGCCGACTTGGAGTCAACTCGCTTTGTGCCTCGGAGTGCCAGGATGGCATTGTCGATCTGCTTGACGTTCGGTACGTTGGACTCGGCGAGGATCCGTTGCATTTGCGCATCCTGGCAGAGGGACTGGATGAGGTGGTCGACGGCGATGAAGCTGTCTTTTTGTGTCTTGCTCAAGTCTTCGGCGGAGCGGAGCACCTTGGCCATAGCAGGTGAAGGTGAAGTCCGCTCTGGCGGAGGGTCTTGGCTTGGTAACCGTACCATAGCCTTCTTGAGGTTGCGCTCGAAGAGTTGTGGGTCGCCATTCGCGCGTTCGAGTACTTGCTTGAATAGCGGCGGCGGCGGTACGTCGACTTGGTTGGCCAGATCTTTGGGCGGATCTATGAGCGAGACGGCGAGGTGGAGGGGTGTGAGTTGTGAGTGCGCATAGCCCTTAGCTAGATCGAAGCTGTCTGCTAGAGCCTTCGCGGCGCGGTCGGTGTAGGCGTCGAATGAAGTCATGGTGATTCGTGACTATAGCCTGGTGTATATGGCCCGAAGCCAAAGGTAATAATCGTGGATCGTGAGCTCGTACTCAGGAATCGTGTATGCGTTGTGTTGTTGTTGGGTATCTCTGGAGAAGAAAGGAAGTGTTGCACAAAGGACTCGAGAAATATTTATAAGGTGCAGGCAGCTTTACTCAACACTTCGTGAAGCGTCAGGAAGCCGTCAGTGACATCGTGTGGTTTCTCGTCATGTCTCGAAGCTAGGCGTGGGTTCTGCCCTGTCGGTAGAAGCTTCTGGATCCTCGTACAGGTTTCCGGTCAGGCAAAGAGCTCCCCGCCAATCGCAGCTACGTCACTCCTGCTGCACTATACCTGATATGGACTAGACCAGTCGCGTCTGCCCAACTGGTGCCACATCAGATCATCACTCCACGCCGACCCAACGTACCGCCTGCAATGACCATGGTTCAATGCGACTCAGGCGGATCCGCGATCAGCGTGGCAGGGTGTGACTCTTCACGCCTTGCGGCCTGACGTCCGGTTCGAAAGTCAAAGGGCAAGGTATACTCGACACGTCAGCAATATTTTCCTACATCGAAGTTTGATTCTCTGGATGAGAGAACTCGTTGACCAGGCAGAGCTTTACTACCAGGATTCTGGCTCTCTCCTTCGTTTGGCCACGTTTGTTGAAGTCCGCCAACTTCGCCTCGATGGTTTCCCCAGCTGCCAATGAAAGCTTTACGCTCGTAATTCTCGACTCCCTTCCACCACTTCCCTTCGAGTCTGTCCATCAGCACTGCCGCCTTCTCGTCCATCGTCATACACAAAAACAATCTCGACACATCGTCTGGAGCGACGTCGTCCATGCGTCCACCAGGGTACATCATGGTCGGCCACTCAGCTACGACCAATCCACCCGAACTAGGCCATGCGACACCAACCCACGCGTTTTCCCTTGCCGTCGGCTCAGGGAGAGCAGCCATTTCGTCCTCATCTTGCAAGTGGTCGGGTTGGGTGAACAGGGAGTGTCTAGCGGGAGAATCCCACCACTTCCCACCGAGCAATAGTAAGCGCTGAGCAAAGTCGTCTTCCTCTTGTCGAGTGGCGTGACGCTTCTTCGGAGGGTCGAGACGGTCGAGGCCGAGAAAGTCGAAATCTGCAGGACAGGGCCTCTCGAGTACGATCACACCTCCGCGTGACGGCCAAGCGAAGATAGTGATTTCTTCGTAGAAGTCGACACGCTTACTGAGATCTTTGACGCTATTGTAGATGGTTCGCGGACCGCACAAGTGCGTTTGACGTTGTACCGGACTTATGAAACGTGCGCTATCGGATGGGGGCGGTGGCGTGGGACGGATTGAACTGAGCACGCTACCCATGATGAGACCGGGATGTATGTCGAGTGCAATGTGGGGAGGCAGGGAACAGAAGATCAAGATAAAGCAACTGTGCCTCATTGTCGGTCACGTGCAAACCTCAAATAGCGAGAACGTCATCGCTTCGGCCCTTATCAAGACTGAGGCATACCTCATATGTTAGAGAGTACGATTATTAATCGCACTAAACAGAACCTTATAGGCCATTGATGATGTAGGACGACCATCATGATTTCGTATCTTCATCCTGTTTTGCACCCAACGCATCACCCCAACACTTCTTCTCCATATCGCGCCTCACGAATGGCCACGCGAGAAGCATGAACATGGCCATCAGCGTATCCACGATCCCCCATCCACGCCGCGGACTCGCACCCATAGCATTCGCCCACAACAGCTGAGGATCGAACCTTCCATCACATATAGCATAGTCGCCGCTTGCGACATTTGCCACAATCTCGGGCGCAATCTTCGCAGCGTAAGGGAATTGCTTTTCCAACTCGTGAAGCTCGCCCGACGTGCCTTCAATGCGCTTGGTAAGTTCGGGTTTAGTCTTTTGCTCTTGTAGAAAGGTTGGTGTGATGAAGTTGTGCGCAAAGATACATTGTACGGCGTACGTGCTCTTTGGGCCTGAGTACCGCATTACTTCCATGCGTAGGGTGTCGGCAAGTGAGCGTTGAGCAGCTTTGGCGGCTTGACGAATACACAGTATCAGTTAGTATACTGGCTTCAAGACTTGTACAATTTTTAGACGATGCATAACCACTTACCGGAGTATGCTAGGTAGCCAGGTGCCGGGACAAGCGATGCGGAACTATTCACGAACACAATCTTTCTCAACTTTGGGCTTGATGGCACCGCAGCGTCTTCGTCATCTTGAGTCCACAGCTTCATTGCCGCCTGCGCTGGATACAGGCTTGAGTAGTAGTTGTTGTTCATACATCGTTCGAATACCTCAGGCTGCAGATCGAGTAAGTACCCGCACTCCGACGGTGTACCGCCAGCAACACAGTACACGATATCCGGAATTTTCCGCTGTGATGCGAAAAGGGAATACGCCTAGTAGTATCATTAGAATTCTAGTTTGTACTTGCCTCCTCATCTTGGTAGTTGGGCCGGACGTCTACTCACTGCTGAAGGTGTGCCAAGGTCTGCAGCGATTGCCGCAACCTGCTGGCTTTCGTCTCTTCTGCTTGCAAGAATTTCATCTTTGGCCTCGTCGAGCTGCGTCTGCCCGCGCGCAAAGATAGTCACATGAGCACCTATACGCTGCTGTTCAATAGCGATACCTCACATTCTAGACACACCAATGACGTACCTTGAGAAGCCATAACCTTCGACATCTCCTTCCCCAGTCCTTTAGACCCGCCAATCACAAACACCGTCTTCACATGTCAGCGTGCATACGTGAATCGGACAGGTTGCACCGTACCTTCCCACTTAGATCACCTTTAGGCGCCATGCTTGCGTGCTGTGAAACGGACGGCAATACAAAAGAGTAGTGGTTGTCGGAGAATTGATGGGAGCGAAGTTGAACCAGACACGACGCCGCCACTCCATCCGTGGCCCGGGTAAGGGTTCTGCGCGCCTGTGGCACGGTAATTGTTTAGGCAGCGGCGCTGCATCGCGGAGGCGCACGGCCCGCTTGATAGATGTACTTCGCATGTAGACAATAGGCTATATCAAACACTAGAAATTGTATCATGCGATAATGAGGCTATAGAAGACTACCTAGTTTCTGTTGCATGATCGCATGTAAAGTCAGAAATATGGCAGCTTGGAGTGTGTAGACAAAGCCTGGGTTGTCTCACTCTATCCGAGCACGGTGAGACTTGGTCATTGCGTATATCCAATACTTGAACAACAACAAGCATACAAAAGTTCTAGGTGTGGGTTGGACTTAACAACCTGGGCATATCCCGATCTCCAAAAAAGCCTCGACGGAAGAATCCCACATGCACGTATGAGCATCCAAGATCCACCGGCCCGAAGCGCTAGCATGTGAAGGCTGAAGGAACTGCCGCCAACCTTTCTGCAACTATGATCTTACTTCGCCCCATTCCATTCCTTCTCGCCAAGCCTCAACGGCTTACGTGCATATTTCGTGTTACCCACAACATGTACATGAAGGAATGATCTTCGCGGCTCGGGGACCGCCATTTTGGTACTTTATGAAGTTGATATGAGGGATAACGCGGCTGGCTTCGTTTGTTGCATGCGTTTTACGCCCGGTTGACCAGGCTACTCCATCCCTGTCGCATTGTGCATAATCTCTAGACTTCCAAGGCGAACTCGAGACGAGACGAATTATCCGGGTAATAATCGTGAGGCCAATGGAAAATACATTCAGTATCTCACCATCGAAGCAGGCATGCCAAACCCAGTCAGCCCTTCATGCGCCATCCAAGTATAGACCTTATGCGCAGCTTGCGAAACGCCAATTCGCTGCGCATCATCCTTGCTTCCCTCAATTTCCATCATTTCCTGGATCCACGCGAAAACCGATGTTACCATCCCGCTTACTTGCTCTTCCGTGTTGCCGGCGTGGAATGTAACCTTCAAGCGACTTTCGCCCTTGGCGACGACGGGGTGCTCGACAGGGAATACGCAGTATCCGTCTAGTAGGAGGTGGAAATACAGCCAGTATGTGTACGGTTGTCGGGTACGGATCGTGATGATGTGGGATGTCGCTGTCGGTGATGCTTCCCAGTCCTTTAGTAGGGGGATGGCGAGTAGCCCGGCTTGCTCTGCGCTTTCCCAGAGGGGGTGCGAGATGATTGACTGCAAGAAGAGATCGACAAGGTCGTGGACTCTTGTTTGGGCCTTGTACAGCGTCAGAAAAGTATGGTCATAGCCATTGACGTGAAGAGGGTAATTACCTGTCTTCCAGCTTCCGATTCCAATAACCTGTAGCCTGTCCGGATAAGTGCTACAGATGCGAATGAAGGCGCAGTCGTGAAGATGATAGTTCGTGCGAAGTTTAGCAGCGTAGACTTGATCGTCTCGTTACCGAGCACTGTAGCTGTATCGCAGGTCAGTATACATGGCTTTCGTGCAGGTGATAAGATACATACCACCTCTTGACGACAAGGCCTTGCCGTATGAATGCATCACTATAGCCACCTCTTTTTCCAGACCAAGAGCGCACACAAGACCCTTGCCTTGCGGCCCATAAATGCCGTTACTATGGGCTTCGTCCACCACAAACTGGACACTTCCGGAAGGAGCCAATTCCTTCGCGGCATCGACAAGCTCTTGCAATGGGCAGACATCGCCGTCCATACTATAGACAGACTCGACAGCTACTAAGACTGATCTTGCGCCCCTTTGGATCAAAGGATTGGACTCTATGATCCATGTTAGGATGCGGCGAAAGTCCTCGATGTCATTGTGCGCAAAACTCTCTCGTTCTCCTGCCAGACTCTGGTCAATTCCTTCATGAGTGCTGGCATGCACCAAGGTATCGTATAGAATTACGTCGCCCGGTCGTGGTATTGACGTCCATATGGCCACGTTTGCTTCGAACCCAGAGGCCAACAATAATGCTGTTTCTGCGCCATGGAATTTAGCGATGTGCTGCTCGGTTTCTTCTATATAGGCGTAGTTTCCTTCGGCGAGTCGCGATCCCGGCGCCCCGGGGTTGTGTTGATCATATCGGGAAAGCTCTTTCAGGTATTCTGTCTTCAAGATGCCGCTGGTGCCAAAAGAGAGAATGTCGTTGGAGATGAAGTCGACTGTTGACTCAGCTGCTTGCCATAGGTTCTGTTGGATCGAATAGAATGTGTGTGACTTCTTCTTAACTTCTAGTGCGTCTTCCAGGTTGCGATAGAATGAGGACGATGGGATTGCTTTTTGTCGGGGCTTCTGGTTCCCGATACGGGCTGCCAACTCTCGGCTGGGGCTGAAGATGGTCGTTGGGTCGTATGCCTCACCCATTCTGTGGAAACCTTCGTAAAGTAGACGCCCAGGTGTGTAACAGGAATAACCGAGAGTGATGCACTGCACAGTCAAGATAGTCGTTATATGTACGGCCTGCCCCCAGATGGGTGCATAGCCCGTGCGACACAGCCATCAGATCGATCTGACTATAGCATTGAGACAGGCAAGAAGAGGAGGACACTCCAGGGAGGCTGAGTATAGGCGAATGAGATGCTGGATCTGGTGGCACTATCCGTGGGGCATAACTACCCTTGCAGCTTGCGGCGTCTAAACGTGGCTGTAGCGATCACAGGCAGTGGCCGGTCAAAAGGGTGACTAGACTCGGCATGCAACATCATATCGGTGAGCTCTTACCCGCATGAAGGCGAATTGTGCAGGAGTCGGTAAGGTATCAAGCAGTGAGGAGAGCAATAGGGGAGGATCGTCATGACGCGCACCCGTGGACGCTTCGTGTTCGTCACGTGATGTAAGGGCTCACGTCAGCGGATCATGAGTGGCTGGGACGCGTTTACCGAAGTTATGCCGGGGGCAGCAGGGCATCTTTCTATTCCAGGACTGTGATGAACTACGAAGAATGCGATCCCACCAACCTGCGACGCCAGCCATGCATCCTCTACCTAGCGCCTATCACCCATGTGAACCCTACCTTGATCGGGAAGATCATACTCGCTCAATTCGCTGACCTCGAACTGGTCGCGACGCTTCTTTAGTGGTGCGGCTTTGTGCCACGACGGCAGCCCACGACGCGTCTCAGCCTGACCTTCAGCCTGACCGCTTGAGCCCGGCCGCGTTATCTGTCGCAAGAGCGAGACAACAGAATCCGAGAATGGCAGGGCCTTGACGACTTTGGGAAGCGATGGGAAGCCTATGATGAGGAAACCAGCCGTCATCTCGCCTACACCCCAAAGACCCGCGATGGAGACAATGTACAGCTGGTCCGATGTGTGCAACAGCCTGTAGATGTAATACAGACGCACCGCTGCGCTCGTACAGGCGAATATTCCGATACCGAAGAGGAGCGAGATACCGATCTTGCTGGCGCGCGACATGTGTAGCTGCCAGAT